CCACCTTCCCAGCCCCAAGACCTCCTGTTTTTGTTGATAGGAAGTGTTAAAATGTAAACAGTAGTCAGGCACTGGTGGCTCATGCCTGTAATCCTAGGTGCTCAGGAGGCTGGGATCTGAGGATCTCAGTTTGAAGCCAGCCCTGGCAGGAAAGTCCATGAGACTCTTATGTCCAATTAACCACCAAAAACAACAGCAACAACAAAAAGCCATAAGTAGAGCTGTGGCTAAAATGGTAGCATATGCTAGCACTTAGTGGAAAAGCTAGGGGAGAGCTAGGAGAGAGACCAAGAGTTCAAGTCTCACTACAGGCATGTACATGTGTGCACACATGCACAAATTCTAAGCAGTGTTTTTTGCTAGAAAGCGGTTCTGGGCCTTCAGGGTCTCGGTCACCCCCTCTGAGAAGGCTCTGAGTTGGCCCTGACTCATCTTGGGCAGGGTGGGAACAGCACAGGTGGAGCCCTAGGAGCTATACAGACACCTGGATCCTATTAGATGACACTGTTCCCACACCTGGGGTGACTTTCTAAATCCTGTAATGATTGTCAGAACAGATGTAAGTGCATTAAAAGTCGTTCTTAATGTAAAGGTTAAAAAAAAAGTGTTTTGCCATTTGAGTAACCAGATCTTGGCCTGTATTAAGTTTCGGACATACCAGAAGCTTCCAACCCTGCGGGGGGAAGGGGACAGATCCTTTTCCTTATTCTTTGATAGTTTTGGAGTCGGCAGGGAGGTGTCAATCCGGAAAATCAACTCTTCCGAGGAGTGAAGGACCCTCCGCCCCGTCTCCCAAATCCCGCCAACGCCAGAACGCAGGGTTTGGGGGAGGCATCCGTCCAGGCGGCGGGTCTCGGACCCCGGACCCCGCGGGTCAGCGCCTTCCAGGGCACACAGGGGCTCTGGAAACACTAAGACCTAAGTCCGGCCCTTAGCACCGCAGCCACGCAGCAGCTGAGAGCTCTACCCCCGGTGCGGGAGGTCCCGGCGGACTGTTGCGGGGCGTTCCAACAACCTTAGGTGGGGCGACCCGACCCAGTCAGCCCAACGCTCTCCGCCCCGCCCACGCGGGCCGCCTCAGCCCACAGGTAAGCCACGCCCACTCCGCCTTCTCCAATCCGACCTCCTCAGTCGGGGCCTCCCCGCCCACTCCTTCCTGATCCCCGCCCATCAGGCTGGTAAAAAGCCACGCCCACACTTGTCTCCGCCCCTCCAATCCGGCCTCCTCAGCGGGGCCGCCCCGTCCACTCCGCCCGATCTCGTCTCAGCCCCGCCTATCAGGTTTGATGGGCCACGCCCACTCTTGTAGACACGTCTCTTCCCCTCCTCCTAGGCTTCTCAGGTTAGAGTGGCCCGCCCTCTCCCGATCCCTTCCACGATGGCCCCGCCCCCGTGCTTCGGCCACGCCCACCAGGTCCCCTCAGGTGGGGCCGCCCTGCCCCTCGGGCCTCGGCCCCGCCCGCTCCGCGAGCACCTCAGGTGGGGCCGCCCGGCCCGCCCCGTTCGCCCGGCAGCGCCTGGCCGCTTTTCCTCGGCTCCCCGCGGGCGGCGGCGATCTAACTTTTGACACCGAGACGGCCGAGTCGCGCGCGGGCTATCTCAGACCGACGGCTGTGGCGGCGGCCGACCCTCGAGGGCTCCTCCGTCGCTCCCCGGCGCCCCGGGCCGGGCGGCCACGAGGCCCCGCTGTGTCCTAGGGCGCTCGCCGGCCCGGAGGGAGGCTGCAGCCATGTCGCGAGGTCCGGAGGAGGTGAACCGGCTCACGGAGAGCACCTACCGGGTGAGTCTCGGGGCGCCGCGCGGCGGGGCTCGGGGGGCCGGGGGTTCGAGGCTCGGGACGGGCAGCCCGGCCAGGCAGCGCACACAGCTGTGCTCCGGGGAAGGAAAAGTGGGGACTCTTCACTTTCGGGGTGAGAAGGGGACTTTGGGCGGGAAGGGCCTCCCCTCCCCCTCCGGGCCAGCCCGGCTCCGGGGACGCTCCACCGAGCGGCGCATTTTACCGCCGATTTGGGGTGGGGGAGTAGTGGGAAAAGTGGGGGGGTGGTCATTCTGTGCGGTCTTCGGGGGTCCCACGTCCTCATTCCTGCTTCTCCTTGGGATCAGTGATCGCCCAGGCCTGGCTGGGCTGAAGCACCCTCCCCCCGCCCCCAGCCTCGCCCCCTTCCACCAAGAGCAAAGAAAAGATCTAGAGTTTCGTCAGAGCCAGAATGTGGGGGAGAAACTCCCCCATAATTAGGAATCGCCAGGTGAGTCTGGCTTTCTGGGTCCGGAGAATTTTCTAGGCTAACTACTCTTGGGCAGGCTGGAAACGCCCCTCCCTGTTTGGTTGTTCTTTTTTTTTTTTTTTTCTTCCCCTACCAAGCTTTAAGTTGAACCTGGCTTTTCTACACCGATGATTGGCATTAAAGAGAATCGAGTTTTAAATACATTTGACCCAATCTTACAGACTAGCAACACTCGATGAGGCTCTTTAACTTGCCTGTTAGTGTGATCGAATTTTTCCAGAAACTCAGAGGATTAGTGGTCGGTTTAGTAAGTTTTAAGTACTTATAAATGAATTCCAGGTGAAATAAGATAGGAGTTTAATCATCTACTATTAATAGAATACAAAACAACTTTTGTTTTAATTCTACTTAGGCTCCTTGAGCCCCTGAGATGGAAGGTTTCCTAAATGCATTTGTAGCCAGAGTAGTTAGTCATTTTTATAGTTTGTTGGGCTTTACTTTTTTTTTTTTAACGCTAAAATGAGTTTCTGGATTTGCCAGGTCTGAGCAAGTCTCCGAAATCAGTTTATTGACCAGCAAAAGCTGGACAAGAATTTTAAAATAGCGTGCAAATATTTTCATAATCTAGCCATTGATGTCCAGAAAATTACCCATTTTTTTTCTTCAGACACAGAGTGGATACTGTAACATATGTAACTTTATAGTAGGACCAAGTAGAGACTTCACTGACACAGCTAGCAACTGTGACTCTTAATAGTGTGTCTTCTTCAGATCAGGCAGTTTTCAGAGAAATGCCAGAAATGTGGATGTTTAAAGCCTGATGTTAGTAGTAGTGAGATTTCTTGTATATAAATGAGAATGGTAGGACCAGAGCTGTGGGTACTGATAAAGAATGTAAATAATGCTTAGACTTGAGAAATAATAAGTTTCTTGGATTGACAGGACAGGAGAAAACTGTATAACAGAACTGCAAATCATTGCATATGGTCGGTGATGTCTCAGTTTCAAAAATCTCACAGACCCACCCAGATCCCTTAAACAGGCTTGTTTTTTCATTCTGAAATGTGAGTGACAACTTGAGATCACCAAATGGGCCCTTCTATTTAGTTTTTGAGACAGGTCTCACTGTGTAGTCCAGCTTGTCCTGGAATTCAAAAATGCTCCCACCTCAGCCTTTACAACGCTGGGCATACAGGTGAGCACTACCACACCTAAGCAGATTTTCAGTCTTTGAAAGGGTCTAACTCCTAGAGATCAGGAAACAGTACCATATTGCATTCCAGATGTCTCAACGTTTACCCAAAGCTCACTAAATGTTGTTTTTTTTTTTTTTGCTTATGTGGTGCTGAGGAATTGAACCCAGGGCCTCATGCGTGCAAGGCAAGCACTCTACCACTGAGCCACCTTCCCAGCCCCATGTTGATTGTTTTTAATCATCATTTCCCAATTAGTGTTTTGGGATCTGGGTTAATTTTGTTTGTTTGAATTTATTTGTTTATTTATTTTGAGGTGATACGATTAGAATCCCACAATGGCAGAGAAGTTTATATAAACTAGGAAATAAAGTAAAGCCTGCCTGCCCTACCCCAGGGTTTAGCTCTAATAGAAACAAACTGTGAGGTTTTTCTTTCACAGATCTTGACCAGAAGCCTGAACATTTCTACCCCTTCCACACCCATCATCACAGCTAAAAACAGTGTACGCAAAATATGGCCAAATTCTGCAGGCAAACTGGTGGTCAACCTAGTTCTTTTCACAACACATCTCCTACATGTTACCTAGTAAGTCTGCAGTGTTTCATGAATGGAAACCTAACCTAGCCAGATGTAATTATGAAAGCTCCCTACAAATGAGATTTTTATGAACTCCCGTATGGATTTTAGAGGTTTCTCTCTTCCTTCCTTTTTTAAATACTGAGATTTCTTTGAAATAAAAGACTAAATGCTTTAGAGAAGAGGGGAGGCCACTAGAAAGTAGCCTGATCCTGTATGCAATATCAAATATCCTTAAATACACATTTGTTGAGTCTTCTAAAATATGTACATAGACAAATGGTTACTGGTGATCTATGCTAATCCTCTGGGAGGGTGTGTGCCTTATAGCTTCTTCAAACAAATGGCCCATAATAAGCCCCACAATATCAAGTCTTGTTGCTGCTGCTAATTTTGGTTCAGCCCAAGATCCCTCCCTCTTCCCACACTTCAGTCTGTAGTGGGGCCATAATTTGCTCCTCAAAAGCTTGCTTGTGCGTTTGCGTGGTTTTCCGATGAGTCCTTGCTTTAGTGGGAGAGTACAAGGTGAAGCTCAAAAACACCCTTCATTAAGGGCAGCCACAACCTTCCTAGAAGTTTAGAACTGTTACCAGTCTTAGAAGTTGGATTGGAGGAGGGTGGCATCATCACAGCATGCCCTGCTCATGTGACTCTTGCTAAGCTGTGAGTGTAGGGGACTTAGACACTTAAGGGAGTGCTTGAGGAAAAGGGTCACAAAGTCTCTGAATGTCACCTTCTCCAGGAGTCCTGCTCAAAGCACACTCTTGAAATTGCCAATAAACTCCACCGATCTCTCAACTCCACCTTTAGAAGTTACTTTACCTTTTCTCACCCATAAAACTTACCGCCTTAGAATATAAATATACTCAATGACATATTTATTTATGATATTTGTTCTTTTCTTTCCTCTCTACCTGGAATGTGAGCTCCCCACCAGGCAGTTTTGTCCAAGGCCAAGCTCCCAGGACAGTTCCTGATGTCTAGTAGTGATATTTGTTGAGTGAACATTAATCAGCTTGTTAAGCCAGGCTCCCTGTGCCCTCTTTTGATACCCTTCTCTCCTTCTCCCTCCCCTCCCCATTTTGTTTAAGACAGAATCTTGTTTTGTAGTCCAGGCTAGCTTCCATTTCAAAATCCTCCTACCTCAGCCTCCTGACTATTGGAATTACAGGTGTGCACCACCATACTAGGTCTTCCTGATATGTTTCATAGGTTTCATTTCATAAATCTGCCCTCCAGGTAGATATGAGCTCTGAGTATGTGTGCTATTTTTCAAAGTTGAGACCTAGAATCTGTGAGTAGCCAGCTTCCCACTGGCCATTTGCTATCCCAGCCTCCAAAGAGCTGTTTGTAGTGACCAACAAATGTACACACCACATGTTTTCTTAATTCAGTGATATACATGTCACCAAATTATGATGACAGATATGTCATCATAACCTCCTGCCCTCCAGTACTGGGATTTGAACTCAGAGTCTCATACTTGCTAGGCAGGTTTTCTGCCATTTGAGCCACTTCACCCACCCTACCTCCTCCTTTTTTTTTTTTTTTTTTTTAGTTATTTTTCAGATAGGGTCATTTGTTTTTGCCCTGTGTGGCTTCAGACTGTGAGCCTCCTACCTGCAGCCTTTCATATAGCTGGGACCACAGGCATGCATCATCATGTACTGGTTGTCAGTTAAGATAGTGTCTCCACTAAATTTTTGCCCAGGCTCACCTTGAAATTTAATCCTCATGGTCTTCACCTCCCAAGTAGCTGGGATTACAGGCATGAGCCACGATTCAGTATCTTAATCTTTTTCCCATAACTCTACTTTCTTCGTGTGCTGAAGATAAAAATGGAATTTGCAGAACCCAGACAGCTTGCTCTTGGCTCCATGAGGACTGAGAAGGTGATAGATAGCAAAAGTCAGAGAACAAACAGCAAGATGGGCTGCCAACTATTGAATGTTAATCGGAGCAGCCCAGTATTGGTTTTTTTGGTCTGGTAAAATGAAGTTTGTTTTTTTTTTCCCCTATCAAAAACTTTTTTTCCTTAACAAGGAAGAATTTTTTGAGCTATGTGACTTTGTTGTGCAGTTTTCAAAATTTGGGAGTCTGGGGGGGTCTCTTGGAGAGATGACACCCTCCCTAAGTTTCAGGGTTTTTAAAAATTTTTAATTTAATTTTATTTTTGGTGCTGGTCCTCAGGCTTGAGCTCAGGGTCTGGGTGGTGTCCCTGAGCTTTTTTGCTCAAGTCTAATGCTCTACCACTTGAGCCACAGCTCCACTTCCAGCTTTTTTTTTTTCCTGCTTAATTGGAGATAAGAGTCTCATTGACTTTCTTGCCAGAGCTGACTTTGAATTGTGATCCTCAGCTCTCAGCCTCCTGAGTAGCTAGGATTACAGGCATGAGCCAACAGTGCCTGGTTTCAGAAGGGCACTTTTAAGTTTACCTAAAAGCATTCATTCTCCCTTGCACAGACCCATGGGGAAAAATCATGTGCATGGAGTAGCAGCAACTTTTTTTTTGTCAGTCCTGGGGCTTGAACTCTGGGCCTGGGTGCTGTCAGCTCTTCAGCTCTGGGCTAGCACTCTACCACTTGAGCCATAGCGCCACTTCCAGTTTTCTGGTGGTTGACTGGAGATAAGAGTCTCGTAGACTTTCCTGCCCAGGCTGGCTTTGAACCGAGATCCTCCTGAGTAACTAGGATTACAGGTTTGAGCCACTGGCACCCGGCTGGATTTTTTTTTTTATAACATTCCACATGTCTTATTTAATTGTGCACTTAAAAAGCAAGCAT